CCCCAAAACCCCAAAACCCCAAAACCCCAAAACCCCAAATAAATCACCAATGGCTGAAATTAAGAGGGAGGATATTGCAAGATTAATTGGGACTAGATCTAGGACTCGTGATCATATGTCCAGCATTTGAAAGAGTATTTGCCTTCTTCACCCTACTGTGCTGTCCTAATGGCTCCTCTTTCAGGCTCTTAGTAAAAGAGTTACCCTCACTAGCACTGTCATAGACTTCTTCAACTTTTGTAGAAAGTTTCATTTTCTTGATGTCAACTCCATCCTTAGCAACCAGAGTGAATTGCTCCTTTAGTTTAGATTGGAAGTGCTCTTCATCAAGGAATCCCTTGTAGATAAAAGAATGATCGAGTAATGAATCCTCACTCTTTTCTTCTTCCTCTTCTGGCTCTTTATCTATGAAATTATGTTAAAAATGTTAAGTCAACCATGCAAAATCATTTTTAATGAGGATGAAGAAGGCTTAATAACAAGTAAAGGTGGCCAGAGGTCCTTTAAATTAACTAAGTTTTATACCTTTCTCTTTCATTAGCTGTTCAATATAAGAAGACTGATTTTCAGATTGAGCGTTATTTCTGCTTTGCTACATCCTTCTTCGCCATATTGACTAAACTAGTATTGAGATCTATATATCTTGGTTCTGAGATAAAATCTTTGACAAGAAAGACTTCAAACTCTTCTATTTCCCAGTTATCTCTTCGACCAGCAAGGAATTTATCGCAGTCTGTTGTTCAATTCTTAGGCATTTCGTATCCAAAAATAATTGATTCTGATCTTCGAAGGTCGATAAGATTTATACCTAGAGAGTTACAAATAATTTTTACCAAGGTCATGACCACTTCCAAATCCAAAAGTAATCTTTGAATGGAATAGAGCAGTGTCTTTACGTTCTTTCTTGACCTTTAGTTTTAAAGGTTCCCGACCCTTGTTATCTGTGATTGTGAAGATAAATGATTCATCTGATGACAGCCAGTTGTTCCCATCAATCCCTTCAGTCCATTGTTTAGGAGAATATCCACCAAATATATGACCTCTGTTGGCTTGGATAAGAATTAGAGTAGGCCCTTGATAGTAGATGGCATCTCTAAACCTCTTAGCAGTCATTTTCGAATCTCCCAGCCTGAATAGCAACTCTGTACTTTTGAAATTCGGCAGAATACTCAAATTTATATCATTTTGACATCTAAGAGGAAGGATTTTGGAGTCCTCAAGAGGATTTATCCTTTCACGTATGTTAGGAGACAACCCTGTTGATCTAACTTCCATTCGAGAGTATAACTCATTTAGTGCGTCGGAGACAATGGAATATGCTGGGATCTTCATCTTAATATCAACTTCATTTTCGATAGGAAAATTGACCTCATTTGCGATACTTTTAATAAATCCTGTTGACATATTGTATTGCTTCAAAACTCCATATAAAGTATCTGGGTTGATATTAAGAACCTTCCTGGAGAGCTCGATGAACTTTCTGCAAGCCTTCTCATTCTTTTCCATATGGTTATCATGCTCCTGGTGAACCTCATCAAGTTCATGAAGCTTTCTATTTTTCATGAGGAGAGTATCTCTGACTATACGGTCATAGTATTCTTCTATTTCCTTATTTAGCCTTTTTCTTGCAAAACTTCATCCTGTTTCGGCAATTGTCTAGATATTTGAGTCTTTGAGTCACAAATTTGTTCATAGAGTTCATTAATGCAAGATTTTCTAGAAGTTAAAGGCTTAAATACCAAGATTTTCAGTTCGGAGAATTCTATAAGCTTCCTCAAGTCCAACCACTCGATGTCCTCTGTGATCATCTGAGAAATTGTAATTGTGTCACATCCAGCAGGTAAACTCTTTGTCATCAAGTCAGAAAGTTTCCAGAAGTTTTAGATGATTCTTACAAATATCTGCAGGTGTAAAATTATCACTTGGGTCTAAATTAAACTCTTGCTCTTGCCATTTTCTAAGAATTAATAAGATATTTACCGGATGTTTAGCTCTAATTCATAGTTGTACTCTAAATCCTTTTCAAAATTGCCAGTTTCAAGGTCTGAGACCCTGTTTCACAGAGGGCATTTGATGGATGTGTGTTTCATAATAGACTCAGTGTCATAACTCGGTTTAATTATCGAGAACAGTATGATTCTTTCAATGCATTCCTTACAAAATATATGCCCACAGGCTGACATTGTGTATGGTTCATTGTAAATACGTTCGCATAGAGGGCAAGTGAAGAGCCTCGAAGATCCCATTTTAAATATTTAAGCTTAAATTTATAACCTTGTGGGGTTTTGGGGTTTTGGGGTTTTGGGG